AAAAATCCTTACAAGATGAAAAGTGAATGGACAAGCAAAACAGACAATTAGGAAAGCATGTGAGATTTTGACCTTCATGTAACATAGGGAGACCAGGCAAAGTATTGAAAGTATGTTAACTTATAATGTATTGTGTACTGATTTGCGCTCCATGTTCGAAGAGGAATTCTATAATCATGAGAAAAGATATCTGGGTTACAACAAAAGGCTACAGAAAGTGAGAAAGTAATGAATTGAGAAGAATGATGAGAGATTTGTTAAAGATGTTCAAAGTTGTGAAAACCATGAAAATGGTAAGCTGGTAAATACTTTCATTCTGGAGGTAAATCGAAAACAACCAGCAATGATTAAAAAATAACATCAAATGTAGAAGAGTGGAAGAGATCAGCAAAACTGTTATGTGCATAAGCAGTTTGCTGTAAGTAATATATCAATTTCAGCACTCAAAATGGTGCTGGATCATTAATGAATATAAAAGGAATGAGGAGTCAGCATAAAAATACGATTCATACAATTCGCGAGCAGGAAATGGAACTAGTTCATAACCAGGATCTAAACTGGGCCTGAATTCAGAATATGCAAAGAGGAGCTAACCATATGTCCTTCCACGAAAAATGTTGATGTTTGTAGAATTTCGTAAGATTTAGGTAATGTTGAAATACACTGTCTGTCTCAATACTCTTTAAACAATTAGATAGCTTTCCATGCATTGAGTAAATTTACATTTTCAGCATAAAGACAGTGAATCTTTAAATTAACCTCTGCCATACGAAGGTGATGGTGAGCCTTACTTCTTGATCCACTTAAGTCCATTTGGTGCAGGCACAACTGATTGATTGTTTCAAAGGGCAGTTCGGAGTCAACCACATTGCTTTGGGCCTGGAGGCATGTGAACCAGACCCAGTAAAATGACAGATTTCCTCCCTAAAGGACATTATAAACCAGATGGGCTTTTACAACAAGTAGTAGTCACTTACGCTGAGACTGGTTTTCAGTTTTCAATTTTCAGTTTATTAGTTGATAGAATTTAATGAAATTAAGTAGTAAATTCAGTCAGCTGCAGTGGTGGGGTTTGAACCTGTGCTGTATGCAGGATCCTTCCTCTCCTTACGAATCTGTCAGTTATAAGCGACAGAGTGGGTAGGGAAGTTGTACTTGTACTATTGCCATGCTATGCTTACACCTCCATGGGGGACCTATAACATTTAGTAACTGAGACATGTTTATATTTTATTTTTGCTTCACAGTGAAGTAGCTTTTAATTCATTGTAAGTAATTGATTTTATACTCCTTATGGAGCATAGCACATGTTAGAATATTCCGCTAGAGAAGAAAGGGGGGAGATGGATATACATTTTTCATCCAATTCAAGACATCCCCTGAACTGTAACCTAAGCCGGTAAGACAGTAAAACGGGAGGATATGAAGATAACTATTTTTGGCTACACTTTTAGCCTGGACTCTGGACAGCAAGCAAATTTGAAATCTAGTCATAGAGGTAATGTCTTTGCCTTAATTAGTTTGCTTTTGTGTAATGAAGTTGGTGCTTCCACTATAATGATCAGTTTAAGTTCCATTTGCAACATAAAATATAAGCTGATTGCCCCAAATGGTCAAATTCCTTTGAACCAGTGGCATATTTAATGCTGCTGTTTCACATCACATCAAGTGTTGGTAAATTTCAGTCCTAGTCAGTGAGTTTCTTTCTTGTGTGCTTTCCATTATGATCCATAATTGAACTGAATTTTTATCTTCATCTACCAGCATTCAATCTTAAACATAAAATGCAGTCCTCGGATGAGTGCAGATTTCTTTATTTTTATGCAGCAGATCCACTACTCCTCTTGTATAAGGTTGTTAAAGTAAACAAAGTCATTAGTAGCAACTGCTGTCAAAATGCACTGTTTTTCTATTTCATCTAGCTGATAAAATTTGTTAACAGATATTGGTCTATAGTATTGAAGGCTAACGTTTTGGGCCTAGACCCTTCATCAGAAATGGGAGAGGGGAAGGGGGATCAGAAATAAATAGGGAGAGAGGGGGAGGCGGATAGAAGATGGATAGAGGAGAAGATAGGTGGAGAGGAAACAAACAGGTCGAAGAGGCGGGGATGGAACCAGTAAAGGTGACTGTAGGTGGGGAGGTAGGGAGGAGATAGGTCAGTCCAGGGAGGACGGACAGGTCAAGGGGGCGGGATGAGGTTAGTAGGTAGGAGATGGGGGTGGGGCTTGAGGTGGGAGGAGGGGATAGATGGGAGGAAGAACAGGTTAGGGAGGCGGGGACGAGCTGGACTGGTTTTGGGATGCGGTAGGGGGAGGGGAGATTTTGAAGCTTGTGAAATCCACATTGATACCATTGGGCTGCAGGGTTCCCAAGCGGAATATGAGTTGCTGTTCCTGCAACCTTCGGATGGCATCGTTGTGGCACTGCAGGAGGCCCAGGATGGACATGTCGTCTGAGGAATGGGAGGGGGAGTTGAAATGGTTCACGACTGGGAGGTGCAGTTGTTTATTGCGAACCGAGCGTAGGTGTTCTGCAAAGTGGTCCCCAAGCCTCCGCTTGGTTTCCCCGATGTAGAGGAGGCCACAACGGGTACAGTGGATGCAGTATACCACATTAGCAGATGTGCAGGTGAACATCTGCTTGATGTGGAAAGTCTTCTTGGGGCCTGGGATGGGGGTGAGGGAGTAGGTGCAGGTGTAGCAGTTCCTGCGCTTGCATATCCGATATCCATTTCAAACCCACCGACTCCTACAGCTACCTAGAATACACCTCCTCCCACCCACCTTCCTGCAAAAATGCCATCCCCTATTCCCAATTCCTTCGCCTCCGCCGCATCTGCTCCCAGGATGAGGCATTCTATTCCCGTACATCTCAGATGTCCTCGTTTTTCAAGGACCGCAACTTCCCCCCCCCTCAGTGGTCGAGAACGCCCTCCAACGTGTCTCCCGAATTTCCCGCAACTCATCCCTCACACCCCGTCCCCGCAATAAGAACCAAAAAAGAATCCCCCTCGTCCTCACGAACCACCCCACCAACCTCCGGATCCAACGCATCATCCTCCGACACTTCCGCCATCTGCAATCCGACCCCACCACCAAAGACATTTTTCCCTCCCCACCCTTATCTGCTTTCCGGAGGGACCACTCTCTCCGTGACTCCCTTGTCCGCTCCACACTCCCCTCCAGCTCCACCACACCCGGCACTTTTCCCTGCAACCGCAGGAAGTGCTACACCTGCCCCCACACCTCCTCCCTCACCCCCATCCCAGGCCCCAAGAAGACTTCCCACATCAAGCAGATGTTCACCTGCACATCTGCTAATGTGGTATACTGCATCCACTGTACCCGTTGTGGCCTCCTCTACATTGGGGAAACCAAGCGGAGGCTTGGGGACCACTTTGCAGAACACCTACGCTCGGTTCGCAATAAACAACTGCACCTCCCAGTCGTGAACCATTTCAACTCCCCCTCCCATTCCTTAGACCACATGTCCATCCTGGGCCTCCTGCAGTGCCACAACGATGCCACCCGAAGGTTGCAGGAACAGCAACTCATATTCCGCTTGGGAACCCTGCAGCCCAATGGTATCAATGTGGATTTCACAAGCTTCAAAATCTCCCCTCCCCCTACTGCATCCCAAAACCAGTCCAGCTCGTCCCCGCCTCCCTAACCTGTTCTTCCTCCCACCTATCCCCTCCTCCCACCTACCTATCTCCTACCTATTAACCTCATCCCGCCCCCTTGACCTGTCCGTCCTCCCTGGACTGACCTATCTCCTCCCTACCTCCCCACCTACAGTCACCTTTACTGGTTCCATCCCCGCCTCTTTGACCTGTCTGTTTCCTCTCCACCTATCTTCTCCTCCATCCATCTTCTATCCGCCTCCCCCTCTCTCCCTATTTATTTCAGAGCCCCCTTCCCCTCCCCCATTTCTGATGAAGGGTCTCGGCCCGAAACGTCAGCCTTCCTGCTCCTATGATGCTGCTTGGCCTGCTGTGTTCATCCAGCTCTGCACCTTGTTGTCTCAGATTCTCCAGCATCTGCAGTTCCTACTATCTTTGGTCTATAGTATTGTTTTCTTTATTTGCAGTATCAGCTGCTGTTTGAGTGAAGAGATTTAAGGACACGGGCCTTCCCTATGTACACCCCCAATCATTGTACCCTTAACCTGTGCCACATTATATTGGGGAAAATGGATCCCTCAGAATATTTTGGTGGTGGGATTCATGAATAATGACTACCAATCACACCAGGAGACTTCTTGAGAAAAGTGCGTGTCATTTTAGAAATGAGAATGGGTGGAAGTTGTTATAGAGTCATATGGCATGGAAACAGATCCCTCGGTCCAACTTGCCCATGCCGGCCAGACATCCTAATCTGACCTAATCCCATTTGCCAGCATTTGGCCTGTATCCCTCTAAACCCTTCCTATTCATATACCCATCCAGATGCCTCTTAAATGTTGTGATTATTCCTGCTTTCACCACTTCCTCTGACAGCTCGTTCCATACATGCGCTATCCTCTGCATGAAAAGGTTACCCCTCACGTCATTTTAAATCTTTCCCCTCTCACCATAAACCTGTGTCCTCTAGTTTTGGACTCCTCCACCCTGGGAAAAAGACCTTGGCTATTCACTCTACCCCCTTATGATTTTATAAACCTCTATAAGATCACTCCATAGCCTCTGAAGGAAAATAGTCCCAGCCTTTTCAGCCTCTCCTTCTAACTCAAACCTTCTGATTCCCAGCAACATCCTTGCACATCTTTTCTGCACTCTCTCAAGTCCAACAACATCCTTTCTATAACAGGCGACCAGAATCGTACGCAGTATTGTAAAAGTGGCCTCACCAAAGTCCTATAAGACCGCAACATTACATCACAGCTCTTATTATTGTGGTGGAAAACTGAAAGTGACATATTTCCTTAAGTTTTGAATGATGGACTATGTTGAAGTTTCTGTATTAAATAATTGTAAGCCTATTTTTTGGTTTTTTTAGCAACCTGAAGAGGAAGCTGTTGCTTACCTTGATCAGAGTGATGGTGAAGATGAGTTTGACCCTGCTGACCTTCCTGATCCTGATAAGTACATAGATTCTGAGGAGGATGATGATGGCCATATTTCTGAAGCTACTGAAAATCTCAGGTTAGTTCTGTTTTTTTATTCAGCAGAATCTTGGCTTTTCTTTTTATCCAAGGTACTGATGTCCTAACATAAAGGTAAGAAGCCTGACTTCTGTGGATGCTAGCAATGAGTCAATATTAATGTATTGAAAATGACAAGACTCGACTGCTCCATACTTTGTCAGCTATGGCTGGTATTAGCTCTATCATTTTCAGGTGTCTTTATGGTGAAACAAAAAAAGACAAGTTGATAAAAACCTGTGCAAAATTGAAAACCTCATGCATTGTTCTGAAAAGTAGGTCTGTGGCCATGGTGTACTTCAGAAATTATAGGAATCGTTGTAATCACAACAGAGATGAGCATAATAATCAAATAATTTTGTTGCTACAATCAAGTTATGAGATCATAGATTTAAATTTTTAACAGAATTTTTTCTAAACAAATTGAAGAAGAAGATGTCTTGATTTTTTTTTGGCAAGATGTTCTTCAGTTTTAATCTTACCGAAAGCTACATTTTCTTGATACAAAAGACAAATACTTTTTATTTCTGGTTTTGATTGGTAAATGTTTCCTTGATTTATCACTCGGTCTCTGTATGAAAAATGCTTGTGTTTTGCTGGCATAGTCATGCTTGTAGGTATTAGCTACGGGGTGGCTTTGCCTTTCATGTTGGTTTGCTATCGTTATAACGTTCCAGTATTTATTTTTGTGATTGTCAAAGTGGGTTGCTAGATCCAAGTCCGGCTGCTGGATATCAATGCAGTGCTGTAGTTCTGAATCAGTAGTTCTAGATTTATAGCTTTATACTATAGTTACCTACTTGTACCTAGGCCGTTTACCTCTGTTCTTTTAAAGCTATACGTAGCTCAGATTATAAATTCTACCTGGATGGATATGCAAGTAGACATGCAGTCATAGCTAACATTAATTACAGTTTGATAACTGAAAAATACTTTGCTTCATAGCCTTTGGGCTGAATTACTGATTTTATAATGGAGTGCATTTTACTTGAGTGCTGTGAAAGCATTTTTTAATGCATCTTATTAAATGAGGTGCATTATTGATACAGAAGAAGTATATATTCTTTATTTAGATTGATTAGGCTGTAAACTGTGTTTGTTAATATGAAAACAGGAGACTGCTCTTTGGTGGTGGCATACCACTAAAAAGTAATCTGAAGGCTGAGATGTCTATTTCATTTAGAATTATTGAACCTTGCAGTGTAGATCAGATACGTATAATTTTTATTACTTTGAGAATCTTAAAAGAAATATTTAAAGCAACGCAGACAATAAATTAATAGTACTTCTAGGCTGATTTCATTTTCTTTTCCATTGTGTTTCATTCTGTTCTCCATTGCTACCCGAACCTCTTCATCTGATTCTCCTGTGCCATTTGTTTGGAGGGGACTGGCCTACCACTATTTCACACAACCACCAAAGCCCCAAACATGAGTCATCCTCTGCAGGATGAGGTCTGTACCCTCTGGCTTTTAATAGTACAACAGCATGCTCTATTCATTGGACAAGAGCCAACCAAATTCATCCATTGAGGAACCTGGTGACTGAATGATCATCAAAAATAAAATTCAAACTTGAGGACTTTATCTGTTTCTTTGGAAGAGTCTGATCCCCAAAATCTGTGTTTTTAAGATGTGGCTTTGTGTGTACAAATATACCAATCTGTTATACAGAAAGTAAATTTTTCAGTTTCAAAATATTTTTTAAAAATTACAAATCTTGCATGTGGTGTGTATTTCCTATACACCATTATTACTTCCTACGTTCTACCAATATTTATGATGCAGACATCGACTATTCAGAATTGTATATAAATATTTCATATCTGCATTGTCGATGAATCGGTTGAATCAGGCAACATGTTTTTTGTAATGAAAACTAACTTTCTGATGTTTTTATTCGCTTGGTAACTAGTGTTTATAATGTCCAAAAGTAAAGCTTTAATTTTGGTGTGACCAACCAATAAAGCTGCAGTACCGTGTGACCTGCAAGCTCAATATAAAGGCCAGTATGTTGTAGACAGTTTTAAATGGGGCCCCAATTTATCAATCATGCAAAATCTCAGCAAATGAAAATTTGGTAAATGTTCATTTGGGAAATCACTGAAGCATTTTTGTCATAAGGCCAAAGACCAGCAGGCAAACATAAGAAACCAAACTGAGTGTGCCCACTAAGTGCACATCCTTTGCTATTCCTGTGGAAATTCTAGGACGTTTTCCATGACCTGAATAATCATTTATACAGAAAGTGTCATATGCAAGAGCAGGTTAAAGTCCGTGTTTTTGAGCTTGAGCAGCAGCTGATATATCTGAACTCGAGAGCTTCATGGACAGCATGTTTATTTAAAAAATCTAGTGAATCTTAAGCTATACAGGGAAAGAGCAAATGGGTGACACCATGACACTATGACTCTGTGTAGTTATGACATATGCAGGTAATCTAGGAGTCCCCTGAGTGCATCTCCTTCTCAAGTGAGTTTTCAATTCAGAATACTGTTAAAGATGATGGCTCTTCTTGGGAGTGCAGCCGGAGCTGAGTTCATGGCACAATGGTTACAGCAGGGCAGGAAGAAAATGCACACTAATGATAATGTGTAATTCAGTAGTCTGGGGAGTAAAGATGCTTTGACAGGAGTTCTGGATGGTGTGTTGTGCCCCTGGTGCAAAGATTACAGGTACTGAGCATCCTGATGGGGTATGGTGAATGGCCAGCAATTGTGGTCCACGTTGGTATCAGCGATATAGATAGAAAGAAACATATGGTTGTATAGTCAGATTTTAAGGAGGCAGGTAGGAAATTAGCAAGCAGGACCTTAAAAATACTATTCAAAAATACTAATCACTGATTACTCCTGCTACTATGCACAACTGAATAGAGAAATAGGAGGATACAGCAGATTAATACATGGTTGGAAGGAGGGTGCACAAAGGAAGGCCTTTAGTTTCTTTGGATGTTGGTGCTGGCTGTGGGATAAATGGAACCTTGTGGAGACCACATATAAACAAAGTCGGGTCTAACTTGTGGGGTGATTTGCTGGGGCTGTTGGAGTGGGTTTAAATTAACTTGGCAGAGATTTGGGAATCAAGAGGTAATATTAGAGAGAATATTGTGCAGAACATTGGGAGGGACAGTTAGCACTAGAGTAGGAAATTGTATGTATTGTATGTTATTAGGTGGATTCAGAGTAATGGAGAAATTTTTTTTAAAGGAAAGGATTATTGTCCATGTATGCTAAAACATAATGTGGTAAATAAGATGTATAAGTTACAGACACAGATTGTGTTAACAGATGTTATGGCTGTACCAGAGGCCTGGCTTAAACAAGGACAGGACTGGGTATTAAATATTCATAGAATCCCTACAGTGTGGAAGCAGGCCATTCGGCCCAACGAGTCCACACGGACCCTCCAAAGAGCATCCCACCCAGACCCAACATGCTACCCTATCCCTGTAACTCATTTCTCGTGGCTAATCCATCTAATGTCCCTGGATGCTATGGACAATTTAACATGGCCAGTCCATCTAATCTGCACATCTTTGTACTGTGGGAGGAAACCAGAGCACCTGAAGGAAACCCATGCAGGCACAGGGAGAATGTGTGAACTCCAGACAGGCAGTGGCCCGAGGCTGGAATTGAACCCAGGTCCTTGGCAGTGTGAGGCAGTAGTGCTAACCATGGAGCCACCATGCCGCCCCAGCAATCTTGGATACAAGGTGTTCGGCAAAGGATGAAAAGCGGGAGA